GGTTTGGTTTTGGGGTTTGTGTGACCACTGAGTTTGTAACCAGAGGAGCCAACTGCACCTCATGAAAGGCTGTGAATAGAAAATTGCTTAGAGGGCCCAGTAAGAGAAGGGAAAATATGAACCTTTTTTTCTTTCCTAAACAAAATTATTAATCACCTTCAGAAGCATGGACTCACAGCCAGTTGTCTTCTGGCCCTTTTCATAACATCCTTTCAATTTAGAGCAGCAAATAGAGCAGGAGTTTATCCTGTGTGTGGGCCAGCCTTGCAAACAGAAGTGTCAGCACAAGAGGATGAGCAGAGAAGGACATGAGCAGGTTGTGGTCACTGATGTGCCCAGAGAGGAACCAGGACATGGTCACTGACTGGGCTTAGTGACCATTTCTTTGGTAACCCTTGGTATATTTTGTTATTTTCAGTACATCTGATAAATCGCACATAAATCAGACGTGTGAGTCAGAGGCTGGCTCCAGATGAGCTGTTAGCACTGCTGTGTTTGTGGCATTGTCTCTGGAGGTGTCACTGTCACCTTGCAGGGCCACAGAGCCATTCTGGCAGCAGGATGTGAAGGTGAACATCCAAGAGCTCAGGCATGAGGAGCTCTGGGGTGTTGCAGTGCAGCTGGGACTCAGCTGCCCCTTCCAAGGCTCTGTGAAGGAATGCTCACCCAGCTGGGCTGCAGAAAGTGCTGCTGCTCTGTGGGACATTTGTTCCCTTGTTGGTTCTCCACTCATCCTAAACCTTGGTCATTGTTGCTGTCCTAACTGTGCCTTTTCTTCACAACTTCATAGTTAATTTTAGTGTCTGTTGGAAAAGAAAAGGATGGGAGATGGTTTCCCAAGTGCTAATCAGCCTTCAATTGAATTTTAAAAAGCTTTCTTCTGGCCATTTAATATTTTGCACTAACTGCAAGGGGTCAAAGCATTTAATACCTCCATATTGTTAAGGATACTCTTTTCATTTCCCAACTTCAATTGTATGCAGCAGCTTATTCATAATAAAAAGAAGGACCACTTAACATCCAATGTATGCCTTAAAATTGCTTTCTGAAGCATGTAAATTGTTTCAATGTACCTATTTGTAGGAAATGAAATAACAGATGTCAAGCAATGTACTATCAAAGTGTACTTTGGAATTTAGTCTCCCAAAAAATGTGTTCTACTTTTATTTGTAATTTCTTTATCAAGTCCAGTCTATCTGAAATGCCAGTATCAATTTCCCCCTTGTAATTCATGAGTTGGTTTTGAAAGAATGCTCACTTGTGTGCTCAGCACAACATTAAAAGAACAAAACAAAAACTGGGCATTCTGGTAGTGTCCAGCTGGCAGGCTGGGTAATTGGCCTGTAAACAAGTTGTATTAATCTCTGAGAAGTGATTTGCAGCAATAGCAAATTACCTCTGTGCTCAGGATAGGAGCAGATTTCATTAGGGCTGGATCACATAAAAGCCAACTTTGGAATTGCATTTGGAAGTCCAAATGAAGAGGGAGTAATTCCTGTGGCCATCTTAGTGCCCTTCATTGGTGGAGACCAACTGTGTTGTCATTTGGACAGGAATTGTGCCTCCTCCCATTTTCCCCTGCTTTTCCCAGTTACATTTTTCAGCACCAAGTTCTCATCCTTTCTGTGAGGTTCTGCAGAGCCCATTATGGTATTGGGGAGTATCTTCTGTGGATAAATTAATTTGGAATTAACACTGAACAGTAGACATTGCTTGTCAGTTTATATCCACAGTTAAATTTTGTGTTCATGTTTTTCCTCAACACTTTTTTCTACAATATTTTTAAAAGATGAGGAAAGAAGCCCAGACCCAGTCCTAGGAAACGTCACTGGAAGCCAATATCAAATCTGTTTGCAGGGTTTCCTGTGCTTCACTGGTAGTGATGTAGTTGCACAGTTTGACAACAGAGGGAAGAATTGCACAGCAGCAGCTGTCAGTTGTTCCCCACTGCTTTTAGGTAGAGGCAGCTGGTTAATTTTATTTTGAGTACTTTTATTTCCCTTGTACTCTTAGTTTGAAAAAGCCTGTGTTTTTTTTCTTTCAATTTTCCAGTCTTGGAAGTACATAAAGTTCTGTACCTTCATTCTATTTAAAATATATATCTGTGTTCTCCAATTAAAAATTGTTATCCCTGCTAAGAGCTTAAAATATGCTTGATTTTTTTTTTTATCTAAACGTTTTCAGATACAAAATGAGGGTTTGAAAGAATTTTTTTTTGTTAGGCAATGTCTTGTGTTTAATATTAATCATCAGAAAAGATTACTTTGTTTAATTAGGAGTATGTCTCCATCAGACTGCAAGCAGCCAACTAGAACTCCTTAATGAGTTAACTGATGTGTGCTGTGAAATCAATTAAAAAATAGCCCTTTTCAATAAGCTCAGTAATTAAATAATCAGACTTTTGTGGTGGCATTCCTCCTTCTAGGTAGCTGGGATCAATCCTGTAAAACCTTGGTTTAGTTCTTGGTTTCAGGAATCCCAGAATCCATTCTTTATTTTATTCTGAAGTGTTCTGGAAACACGTCCCTGAAAATGTTGTTTGGGTTCATTTTGCCATGGGAAGGGATGAGATGCAAAGTCAGATGAGAGCTTTGTTCACACAACACTGACAATGAATTGTTTCTTAACTCAGGGTTTGCGCTTACTGCCATTTTATGAATCTGATTATTGTTCAAGGTGGTTTCTTTGATCTGGTAGAGCTCTAGCTGGGACTTGTAGCTGATAATGCTTCAAAATAACAATGATCTTGAAAACCCAAACTCCTTTTTCAGCCTAGCCTTACCCTTGAGGGAGTTTCTGGGAAGGATGTCCCCTTCCATAAGGTTTCTCCCTGCTCAGTGCTCCAGGGGTTGAGGTCTCTGGCAGCACAACCCTGTGGTGCATCAGCCACTTGTCCCAGTTTTGGATCCTCAGTGAGCTAAAGTGTTTTATTCTGTCATAGAAATTTAATCCTAATGTGCAATAATAATAGAATGTGTGCTATAAAGGTGTGTCTTGCAGGATTGCTGTTTTCTCATTTTTTACCTTGGCCCCTTTTGGAGCCAGGGAAGAGGAAATGGGGATTGATTTCCCTCAGCCCCTGCACTGACCCATGGCAGTCCTGGGGATCAGCTGTGGGGGTTCCCACTTTTTTAAGCTGGTCTATATTAAGCTCAGTTTTTGTTAGACTGTTGCCTCACAAGTGCATGGTATAAACCCCTGCCTTTGATTTAATATTTATCATTAATTAGGGAGGTGACTTGCTCCTCTATTTACAGACTTCATCAGCACAAGCTGCTCGTTAACTTATCATTCACTTAATATTCCTCATGTCAGTGATAAGCTAATGTTCAGATCACAGATGTATTACATTGCCTCCATATGGTGCTTTGTCTAATGAATTAATTAACTATTTTGGAAAAAAATCCTTGTGGAGATTTTTCCTCTTGGTGATAGAAATGGTGGAAGGGTTTTCCATTGGTCTTTGTGGTTGAGCATATTTTAGTTAAAAACCTTGCAGTCATTTTGCTAGGTTGTCATTTTAATTTTCTTTGCACTTGAGAAAAGTTTGCTTTAAGGTTGATATTTGGCAGGTTTTGAAGAGTTGTTTGAGTCAAATGGCCAAATCCAGTGTCCATCTCTGTTCCTGTGGCTGTATATTTGCCACTTTGGGTGTGCAGTCTTTAGGCTGCTTTGAGGAGCTGCTTGGTTTTCTTTTTCCAAATTGTTAACAATTAGTTTAATAGTGCAGTATCTGTTTCAAATGCTTGCACAGTAAACATTTGCACATGCAAATAGAGTAGGTATGAATGTTTGGGGATTTGGCTCTGTAGATATGTGGAATCACAGAAACTTCAGTGCTTCCTTTGGAAGGACAAAAATAGAGGATCTAAAATCAGACCCAGAATTGCAGCCAGTGTTCACACATTGCGTGTCAGTAGCCTGTGAGTTTTGGCTTGCTCAGTATAATGTTAAAATAATCTCTTGACAAAGAAACTTTTTACTACTTGCATTATCATTTGACACAGAAAATATCTGTGTTTTTCTATTTTAAAAAAGTCTTCATCTTTGATGAAGTGTGAATGTTTGAAACTTGAAAGTAACATTAAAGATGAAAATCTAAGATGCTTTTGCATTAATTCCTGAGGATTGTAAATGTACAGTCTGCTTCATTCTGAAAAAGTATCAATTATAAATCAAGTCTGTCAGAGTCCTTATCCCTCCTGTACCCCACAGAACCCACCTGTACCAGCTGTGGACAGCTGCTGACCCTGGTGCTGTGCAGGGCTTGGCTGGGTCACCCCTACAGCTGTGAGCAGCTCTGAAAGGGACCCCTGTGGCACAACAATTTAATATTAAATATCAAATTCTCTAATTAGCCATTCACATAGAAGCTGCTCCTCTGCAGTTAAACAGCCACAACAAAAGTAACTTGGAGTAGATGCTGGGTTTGGCTTAAATAGATTAAATGTAACAAATCATTTGGAATATATTAAAAATAATTATAGACCTGCACTTGACCTGCCTGAACAAAAGAAATATTTACTGTCAAAGTAAAAATGAAGTCAAATGCTGTAACTCTGCAGACTTAGAGCATGTTGAATGTTGCACGTGTGAGGTGTTATCAGTACCAAACACTCACACTATCAGTACCAGCCATCCTTGGTGCGTGGCCATGGAAGGTGCCAGGGCAGAGCAGCAGCGCCATTTCCCCGAGGAGCTGCTCCTTTAACAGCTCTGTCCCTCTCACCTGAGCCAGAGCACGGAGCTGTAACGGGATTATGATCATGTGAGGGAAAGGAGACAGGGCTGGAGGGAAGGGAGAGGCAGCGGTGAAAGCACATCCTGCCCCGGCCGTCACTCACGGCCGCCTTAAAAAATCCAAATCCCCAGGGATTGTGGCTGTGCGTTGATATTTAGGAAAGCAAGCTTGTTCTGAGTCACAACTTGCTTCCCCTGCTGCGTGTGGTGCTGCTGGGCTGCCATGCTGCTGCTTTACACCTTTCTGCTTTCTTCCCTAGAATCCATCTACCGCCGGGGAGCCCGAAGATGGAGGAAGCTGTACCGAGTCAATGGGCATTTGTTTCAGGCCAAACGTTTTAACAGAGTGAGTACTGTTGCATGAAACGTTGGGGTTTGCTCATGTTCTGTGCTCATTGTTTGCCTCAGTCTGTGCTGTTTCAGTGTTGGAGTGTTGGGAAGAAAGGAAAAGCAGGATGCTTGTTGATGTGACATTTCGGGCTCTGCGGTGTTATTGGAGTCGTAAGGAGCAGGCAAAACTTGGCAGTGTTTGAATTTGAGTTAATGCAGGATTGGTGGAAATTATTTCTTTTTAAAGTCTAAAATGCTGTGTGACTGTTTAAGCTGATACACCCTTGGAGCAGCTTCTCCTGTCTCCACTCCTGTGATTTTGGTTGCTTGTTAGCAAAATCTTTTACCTTTAGAACACTTTGCCATCCATAAAAGTTACAGCTGCTGATGTGAGCTTTAACTGTTTAGTATCTGGGGTACTACACAATCCCAGAATTTTAAAAGGATTTTTTATTGAACTAAAATACAGCTGTGTTTGGAGACCCTGATTTAATCCACATAAGGAAGTGAATGTGGCTTTAAGGCTGAGACACCTCCTTCACTTATCCCATTATGCCTAAGTATTGCAGCATATATATAAATGTACTTGGGGGAATTCCACACAAAACTGAGTGCACTCAGAAGAGCTAACTCTTTCATTCAGCGGGGACATTTTTTCTAATAATTGAAATAAGAGTTTTTTCTAAAATTTCCCACCCCAAAAATGCACTGAAAGAAGGAAAAGCCCCTTAAAACTCAGCATTTATCACAAAATATGTTAAAAATATCATATATATGAATTATCACATGGATTTGCATAATGTATTACAGGAATAAAACAATTTATAGTATGAAAGTATATTTTAATGTTTATTTGCTACATAATAACATATTTCCTTTGAAACACTACAAAGCATACTGCCACATTAATAATCCATAATGTTATAGATAATGATGTTTTATTTGCAACGAGGTAAATAGTGAATATACACAGAGATTTTGATACCTCATTAGGATGTCACAATCCTAAACAAGACTGCTTTATACCTGCATGCAATGACATCATACAGAGCCAGAACACAAATCACATCCAGCTGAAGTTAGTGAGCAGGTTACCATAAACTGTAAAATGTGACCTGAAAATGGATAAATTAATGAGAAATTATGGTCATGTCTGCATTACTGAATTCAATACCAAATTTCAATGTTGATGGAATTTTTAAGGCTGGAGTATTGCCTTAAGGATTTTTTCCTGTTTCAAAGTAAGGATTCTTTCCTGTTTCAAAGTAACCTTTTGCAACTTTTTCAGATAATTCAGATAAATGAACACATGCAAAAATTTAAACTTTAATCTTGTTGAACATAACATAAAAGTGAACTCTCTGGTATGGCTTTGACTGCATGTGAGAGGTATGAAAGGGTTACCTGAGTTTCTGGTGGAATTTGGGACCTGCCCCTCCTTCCAGGGCCTGACAGGTTTTATTTAGTCTCAATACTACTGCTGCAAAACCTATAAAAGGATCCTGAAGGAAGTCTGGTGGGCCAGGAATTTTGGAAGAGGTGGCAATAGATGTCCCAGGCTTCCTCTCATCAGGCAGTTTTGGGGTTGTTTTTCTTTCCTCTGGGCAGTGCAGTTTGGGTTTCTCCTGATGGAGGAGGACTGGCTGCACAGATGAGGGAATGGAATTAAGTCTTGTTTTCTACAGCTCCCAAAATACAACAATAATTTTATACTGGGTCTGGGTGACTCCTTGGTGTGCAAGGATCTCAATTGTTGTTTGACACTTGGGGTAGAGTGGATAAAGTGACCATAGCAACATACACTGGAACAAGGATTTAAAATCCTCTCCTGTTAAAGTCAGCCCCAGGATGTCTGGCTTCCTCATTTACCCTCATTTTGATTTAATTCACATGCTCTTTTCTTACATGTGTTAAAACACCACAGGTTTTTGATGCTCAGTGCAACACAGGAGCTTGATATCAGACATGATTAATGGGTTTTAATTATGCAAAGTTCCTACCACTGTTAAAATGTATAGGTGTAGATGTAGAACACTTTTTATGCATTGTCTGCTTAACATTTTGTGCCAGTGTTCTCCAACACAGTCAGTGTGGGTGCTTCTTATACATGATTGTGTAGTACAAACTTCTGGCAGTTTTGTTTGGGTGATCTCTGTCAAAACCTGAGATTCTAAATAGACTTATTCTCTAAAAATAATTTGCTAATGTCACACTGTAATGTGTTCCATATGCTTGAGGTATTTATTTAAAAAGAGCTGCATTTAGCTGATTTCTGGGTGTGAAGTGTAACCTTCAGCTATTATTATAATTCTGGACATTCTAAAATTATTGCAGAACATCTGGTGGGTGACTGGGATGGGCTCTTTGCAGCAGGGATTGCTCCTGAACTGATGCTGAGCTCTGTGCCCTGCAGAGAGCTTACTGTGGCCAGTGCAGTGAAAGGATATGGGGCATCGCAAGGCAAGGCTACAAGTGTATCAACTGCAAGCTGCTGGTCCATAAACGCTGTCACATCCTTGTCCCACTGACCTGCAAAAGGCATATGGTGAGTGTGTGCTCTGGCCAGGGCTCAGGGCTGCCTCTGGCCTCTGCTGCCCTTGGTAGATGGGTCCTGAATTATGAAATGTGGGCCTGGCTGTGGGTTTGTAACACCTGGGAGTGTTTGGGTTCCAGTTTCTGTGGAGCCTTTGGATTGTGAGCAGACAAAGTGAGAAAGAAAGCTTGTGATGTGACTGCAGTGTGCTCAAGCTTGAATTTGACTTGTCCATCAGACACTGACAACCTCAGAAGTTACTCCTTGTAGCCTGTGGGAATGTTTTAAGAACGAAGGCACTATATATGATATACATATAGTGCCTTAGTTCTAAATTTATATATATGATATAGTTCTACTGTAGAACTAATAGTCTTGGTAGAAATCATGTATTAAACATTCCAACCTGGATGTACTAATAAATTTCTGTATATAATTTCTGCACTTCTCTTTTCAGCAAGGCTTATTGCTTCCCTGTTCCTGCCACCTCAGTTTCTCCAGTACTGTTCTCTCTGTGGCCCTCAGTCCATTGCCAATGCTGGTCTTTCCTGGGCTTTAAACATCAAATCATTGATGAAACATCTGTGTATCTCAATTGTAGCCCTTTCCTGTTTTCATCCCCAATATTTCACTGGTGGTTGTGTCATATTTGTGACTTAAACCAGTAAATTTCTTTGCTGCTATTGTCTGTGACTTGTCTTCTCATTACCAATTCTTTGCCAATTACTTTCTTCATGCTGCTGTACTTCCTGGAATAGTCCTGCTTGTCTTGGGGATGAGCCCAGGGCCCAAATGCAATATAAAATATCTGTTATTGTGGTCTTCACTAATTTATGCATAATGAGCAGCAATTCATGTTTTTATTAAGCAGGAAAGGAATATGCCAGTGCTGTAAATGGAGTGTGTAACATCATGCTGAAGTGTTTACTTGGTTGTAGTTCCATGTGAAACACTCAGAGATCTTTAAGTAGAATAAAATTTTGAACTTTGCTGTAAAATACCCCACTCTCATTTTTAGAATACAGCGAAGCACCTGTTGCAGCTGCAGGGAATGGCTGATGCAACATTGAGGTTTTGGTGGGCTGGTTTTACCATGCATTACAAAATGTTAATATTTGGATATATAGACTCCAAAATCCAGTTTTCCTGGTGGGAGAGGGGAGAATCTCGTGGGGTTTCAGGCAGGGCAGTGCCAGGGCTGCATGCCCAGGGGGTTGGTTTGTTTGTGTGCCTGTGTTTGGCAGGATTCGGTCATGCCTTCCCAGGAACCTCGCTTAGATGACAAAAACGATGAGGCTGATCTCCCTTCAGAGGACACTGATGGAAGTGAGTGCTTTCTGACTTTAGAACCCCTCTTGCCCTCATTTCTTCCTATTCCTGTTTAGAAAAGTGGAAAAATATGGTCAACTGGTCAGTATGGTCCAGTAGTGTTTAAAGCAACCTGGTCAAAATATGGTCAATATGGTCTAGCAATGTTTAAAGCTGGCCATAGCTTTAATGTTAAAATAGTTTAATGTTAAACCTGGCCATAAGCTACTAAATATTTTTCAGCTTATTGATTTTTATAACTACTTCAATGAAGGCCTTTATAACTTTTATAACTTTGATTTCTTTTATAATTTTTCCAGTTCCCTACATTCCTTCAAACCGGAAACATGACACCATTAAAGATGACTCTGAGGTATGTTCTTAAAGTATTTTTGCAATTTGTATTTATGTACTCCAAATCACAGAATGAACTAGGTTGGAAAAGACCTTTGAGATCATCAAGTCCAACCTAATGATTCAATGTTTTATAAAATAGCTGATTATTTGTTCTGGGCTTTCTGCTGCCCTTCTCAAGGGTTTTTTTTTCTGAACATTGATAATTTTAAAGCATTTATACTGGAATTTTTTTTCAGATTTCTTGTGTGTTAAGCTGTTGTCATTCCACTCATGATCCAAGATACCATTTAGCATTTTTGTTTTCTCACTTCCGTTTGTTGGAATAACAGTGATTTAGCAGAGGGTTTGACTTTTATGGTCCTTACAACAAATGGTGGCTTTGCCATTGCCTTGTGTGCTGTCCCTAATGGATGCTCACCCTTTGCCACCCTCGGGGTATTCCTGGGGAACTTGGTTCAGTCTGGTGACCCATGAACTGCCCAGCTCTCTGAGAGGATTCATATAAATAATACCTAAACATTTCTACACAGCTCCTGTGGAAACACAAGCAGAATAACCTACACTTAGTCTTTTTTCAGGTCTTTTGTAGAGGATTTGACTCAATCTCTGCACATCAGCAATGTTGTTCCTTTAGAGCAGTCTGAAAAATCTGAATATGTTTCACTTCTAAAGGGCTTAAAGACAATTCTTTTAAGAATGCTTCTGGCATGTTTAAAATAAATAGGATGCACTCTGCACAGCACTGGTGGCTGTTCTGCTGCTCCCTCTGAGCAAGGCTGCACCTTTTGCCTTTGCCTCCACCACAATGCTTGTCACTCCCATTCCTTTCACACTCGATAGCTCCTGCTCCTGCCTGACTGACTGCCTTATTTTCAGTCATGTAGCTGCAGATTTTTATCTCAAATTCAGAAATGGAGGGGTAGAAATTAAAAGCACATCAGACAATTTTAATAACTCACTTAGGCTGAGGTCAGTGCTCGGGTTTGTGTTGAAATTTGGGAGGTGCTGTTTGCTCAGCTGTCCTGAATTGCACTGCTGTGATTGTCCCACCTTGGCTTTGAGCTGTTCTGAAATGATTTAAGGTATCCTACAGAAAGGAGTTGGTGTTCTGGGAGCTTTGTCTAGAATCTTTAAGCTTAGAGCAATCTCTTCTAATAGCAGTCAATCCTAGATCAAGATTCTTTATATAAACACTTTCCACAGTTCTGCAGAATGCTGATCTGTCTGCAAGTACAGTAGTGTGAGGCCAGATAAAAATAGGCCACAGAAGTGTGTCAAAGCCTTGGGTAGATTGGTAAAACCTGAAAGTCCAAGTACCTGCTGCATTCATCCAGTTCAGCTGCTCCATCTTCAGTCCCATGTTTTCACATCTCATTCCAGCAAATAGCCAAGATGATAAAATTTCTCTTTTTAAAATAATGAATTTAAAAATAACATTCTTTATAGTGGAATATTTCCTGTGAAATCAGAGAATTTAGAAATTGAGATCTGCCTCTGTGTGTTCCCAGGAACCTGTTAGAAATCTTCATTTTCATTCAAATTATAGTGAGCTGAGCACAGACAGATATATTCACTAGCCAATGAGTGTTTCCTTATTAATCCTATTTTTAGATAGCCTTTATTAATTTGTGCTGTATGTGTCAGAATTTGAACAATGCTCCTCATTTTGTGCAGAGGATACAATGTACATCTGGGCTTCAGGAATTTGGATAAACCTCATTTCTCAAGGCACTGCCTTCTGCTTTCTAGCAGGGAATATGAAAATGATTAGTTGGATGAACAACTGCCTTGGAAAAACCAGTAACTTTTAGTAAAAGCAAACCCAATATTTCTAAACAAATGTGTTCCAATCAGCATCCAGCCCTGGGTGCCAGTGCCAAGCAAAGTCAGCAAATTCTGTCCAGTGCTTAAAGATCTCTGTGCTTTAATGGTTACTTGCTATGGAAATGTCTTCAGTTTCTAGCATCTGTTTCTTTTTATACAGGATCTCAAACCAGTCATTGATGGAATGGATGGAATTAAGATTTCTCAGGGGCTTGGGCTCCAGGACTTTGATTTAATCCGAGTTATTGGCCGTGGAAGTTACGCCAAAGTTCTTCTGGTTCGGTTGAAAAAGAATGATCAGATCTATGCTATGAAAGTAGTGAAAAAAGAGCTGGTCCATGATGATGAGGTAAAAATCTATGTTAATTGCATTCTTTTACATGCTATAAAAACTTACCATGCTTTAACAAAAACCATTCAGCTGAGCAAGAAGCTCATGTTTCAGACAGAGAAGTTTTTCTGACTTTTGAGTTCGTTTGTCATCAACACTGCATGAAGCACCAGGATGAAATCTGACAGAAATGTCCCTTATTTTAATAACTAACAATTACTAATAGTCTTGATAGAAATCATGTATTAAACATTCCAACCTGGATGTGCTGATCTGTAAGTGATGAGATAAATGGGGTGGATTTTGTGCATTTAATTTTGAAAGAAAGCAAATGTGTTTTCCAAGGAAAAGCATTGTCTTTGTGTCAGTAAAGGAGCTGAAACTTTGTTCTTGCCCTCATGCTGGCACAGCCTATGTGCAAGTGACTCAGGATTCTGAAATATTTCTTCCATGAGTTCAAAAATTATCCTGCTGCAATTTGAGATCCCTGTGTTTTTGTCTGCCACAGAAATCTGCTGTATTTCTCCATTATTTTCAAAATCCTTTAGTTTTTTTTTTTTAATACAAGATCTCAAGTGCATGAGTTTGGGGGCTAAATTAAAAAGGGGAAGGTTTTGGGGTTTTTTTTCATCTTTTTCCTATAATTCACTTTATTGAAGTAGGATGTTTGTGCAAAAAAAACATCAAACCACTATTTTAAGTGCTCTTTGTGTTGGTGGTTTCAATCAGTTGCTCTGTCACCTCTGTCATTATTCCAGAGACTGGGCTTATTTCTCCTAAAATCCTTTGGCTCTCTCATTTATTTGATGTTTCCTTTTTATGAACCAAGATGAGGCTGTTGTGTGGTTTATGTACTGTTTTCCTTTTTAACATGTGTTTTTCCAAGAAGGTGGGAGCCAAAGCCAAGTCCTGTTTAAAGAGTTGTGCAGCTGTTTGAGAAGCAGAGGTAGATGAGGAAAGACTTTCTGGAATTGTGGCTCTCATAATTACATTGAAGATAGAGCTAATTGGTTTTTCTTTGCTCTAAGATAGGTATAATGAAATTCTGGGAATTGATAGGAAATTCAGTGAATTCTGTGAGTGCATGAGATATTGCAAGTAATGGAAATTTCACCTTAGAAGTGTTCCACAAAGAAAGAAAATCAATTACACAGCAAGTATCAGCATGTTTAAATTAGCTGGTGCTTTCAGGGCATGGCTGCTGGTGGAGAGAAGTGAGATGGAGGGAAATCAAATACCTGGGCTTCTGTTCAGGTTTGCTAAGCTTGGTTTTGTTATAAAGCACTGGTGTAATCCTAATGCCAAGTGCACTAATGAAGAGTTAATTTAAAGGCTCTTAAAGAGAAGCTCATTTAGTTAAACCAAGAAGAAGTGCACATATTTAGTGCTTTATTCAAAATTGGATTTTTGGCTCTGGATTTTGGTCTGGACTCGGGTTTGCTCTTCCAAGGTGATGTATCTTCACAAGGGTCCACACACAAAACCTGACAGGTTTCTTTAATTGGATGGTGGCAGTTCTTGGTTTCCTCTGAGACTTCAGTGTCAGCATCCATCCCTGACAGGAAGGTCTGGTTTCAGTTTTGTATTTATTGTCTCCAGATTGGCTGGGGAGCTGGGAGTATCTGTGGGAAATGGAGAATTTTTAGAACAATTACAATTCTGGTGTATTTCAGAGTCCTGAGTGTTTGCAGGGTGATCAGAGCATTGCATGAAGGGTGAATATCTGCTGCTAAACCCAGCTGGCTGTGATGTTTAAATTGTGTGTGGTTCTATGAAATAAAGCTTAAATGCTTTGTTATCACAGCTCTGAGTTTTGCAGCACTGTGCCAGTATCATGCAAACTGGTTTTATGGTGTGGTTTTGCACTGGCTATTCAGGACTTTTTCCTGTTCAAGGATTAAAGATATCTGTGATGCTTTTCATGATTTTGGCTGGACCAAGTAGGCAGGTTTTGGTAGTTTCATTGAATTAAATTTGAATTTCAGATGAGGAGATGAAGTTCAGTTCACTTGAACCTTTTAAAAGCTGGAGATTCACATTGTGTTACTGCCATGAGCTGCTTCAGCAGCTTTGGGATCATTTATCTCAGAACTGAAATTATTTCCATGCAGCAGTGTGAGCACTTTATCAAATATTGCAGATGTGCTTTATTAACAATGGCTTAGGTTTTGTACAGGCCTTCCATAAATGGTTAAATAACTTCTGAATTTATAACTGAATGACAATGTTTTATAATTTCCTGCAGATTTTAAGGGGTCCTTGCCTTTCTGAAGAACAATGTGACAATGCCTGTGTGTGTAAGGCAGCACTGTGATGCTCACAGGTGTTTTTTTACCCCCAGTGGTTGTCCAGCAGGAGTTCTGATTGTTCAATTACTCTGTTTCAGGATATTGATTGGGTACAGACAGAGAAACATGTGTTTGAACAGGCATCCAGTAACCCATTCCTAGTTGGTTTGCACTCATGCTTTCAAACAACAAGTCGGTAAGAAAGATCTGAAATTTTTTTTTCTTTTTTTTTTTTCTTGAGAATCTTGATCTTTGTGCTAAACTGCTTCCCCTAAAGCAAATGTAACCACTGCCAGCACACAGCCAGGGATTTTTGGAAGGGAATATCAGCACTGTCAGAGATTCAGCAAAGTCAGCTCTAGGGGGTGGCTCAGGGGTGTGCAGAGGAGTGTTGGGCTGTGGGTCAGAGCTGAAGGGAGAGGGGAAGGAGGAAGAGGAGGAGCTGTGCTGCCTTCCTGAGCACAGCCCTGTGACATGGGGAGCACAGAGCTTCCAGCAGTTACAGCAGCTGCTGCTGGGCAGGCCAGGTCAGTTCGCAGCAATTCCTAAAGAGCCTGAGAGCTGGGCAGTAATAATATTTAATAATCATATAAACCCCTACCTGCACAGTGCTGCTGGCACCTAGGAGGCTTAAAAGCCTTTAGCACAAATCAAAGCAGTGTGGGATTTTGAGAAAGTGCTTATTTAACTCTTAGAAATACTATTTCATTGTCCCTGTGTGCACAATCCAAACTGGATTATTTGCTGCTTATTTTGCAATTGGAGTATGAAGGAAACAAGAACTTCCATGTCCATGCCTGAGTGTGCTCCTGGGGAATTGGGATGTGGTTTGGGATAGGTTTTGTTTTCACAGGCACCTGTTTGCTGTTACACTTTTATAATGCCTCATAATCAGAAAATTGTCATTTATTCAATTTGCAATGTAGAGTGCAAAGTTTTAAAGTTTTCATGGATTATCCATTTATCCTTAAGAATAATCACCTGGCTTTTTGCAATGTGTATTGTCAAGTTTTAAAATCCAAAGCCATGCACTGTACCTTTTCTTCAGTCCTCAAAATTTCACCTCCCTAATGGAGCAGAGGAAATCTTCCTGGCAGGGAAAACAGAGATGAAGGAGCTGATCAGTGTTCTGAAGGTTCATGGACCAAGGAGTGTTTGGAAGCAGGGACAAAGAAATAAAGAATGATCCCCAGAGGTCTCTGAGTGAGGATTTGACCAAAACAAACTCATCAGAAAAAAATAAATAAACATTTACACAACTGAGAAACTGCTGGGAAAGGCTCTTAAGTTAAACCAACATTCCCAAACTCTTTCTCACCAAACACAAGGTAGAATTGTGCACCTGATATGAAAATGCAAGTGGTCAGGCAGGGTGAGGGATTGAGGAGAATTCTTGTAACTGCTGAAACCCAGGAAAAGGCTGAGTCAGCAGCAGGATCCTGTGCATTCCTCTGTGGCACTGCACTGACAGAGCTGAGGAGCAGAAATAGGAAAAAACCCCAAGCTGAACATAATCAAAGCTTTCTGTATTCCTGCTGGATCTTTATGAGCCCTGCTTTTCCAGCCCAGCTGCTTCTTGCAGTGAAACTCTAATTTTTTGTTGGGAACTTCAGCCATTTGCCATGGATATAACCATAATGTCATGAATTCACAATTTGATTATAGCTGTAAATGTTAGAAAATCATAATTATGACCTCATTTACATCAAGCAGGAAAAGCACAAAACTGATTCCAAGTGAATAAATTCATCAACATCAGATTGTGTTAAGTGGCCCAAAGAAAATGAGTTGTAATAGAACAGGTTGTGACAAGGGTACTGATGGGGGGAAGCTGCAAAAAATGTTCTTGCTCTTGAATATGGTTTGAAATAAGTTTTTAACACAAATGTGAGGCTAATTGATGCTGTATGAAGCTGTGCATTGTTTCAGGTTCTGATGATGCTTGTTTCATTATTGTAATAAAATATATTATTATTTATTTATTATAAATTTATTATTGTAATAAAATATGCCCTGGACTTGCCCAGAATTGCCAGATAAATGTCTTCCAACAGCCTGAAACCTCCATCCTGCAAACCTGCTGGTGTTTCAGTAAATCCTTCTGATCCCAGCAAGGCCTGCCACTGCTGAGATTCTTGAATATGACTTGGCAAGGAAATTGCAATTTCAAGTTCTGAAGGGTGATAAAACATTGGGGACTTCTAAATAGGATAGGAAAGCTGGAAACAAAAAACACCAGGAGTGCTGTAATAAAATACTCCAGGCATTGTTATGTATTTTGTTTGCTGCTTATTTAATTTCAGTTTAGCATTTATCTTCTTGTGGGGAGGCCACTCTGAGTTCTGCCAGCTGGACTTTGTCCAGTAGATTTTCCTGGTTTAAGTTCTAACACTTTTTAAGTGTTTCAAATGAAGAATCCTTTTCTAAAGAACAATCAAATCAGCAGCTGGAGTGGTCTGAGAGACTGGAGCACGTTCTCCAAAAGGAATGTTTTCCAGTGTGAGGATGTGCGGAAAGGAGCTTTCAGCTCATGGAAAATGAGGTGTACAAGGAAATTCTGGGCCAGCCCAACCTGCCCCAGCAGTTCCTGACCTTGGCAGCAGTGCCTGGATCACATTTTCCCAAGGATGAAAGCTTTCCTGCAGGCTGGAACAGAATCCTCCTCTCTGCCCAACTCCTCCTGGATCTCTGTCCCTGCTGCCCTTTCCCTGCTCTGGAGCAGCCTGGATCAAACATTGATTTTCCCGAGGAACAGATGAGCCCAGAGCTTCCATCTGGTGCCTGTATTCTGTACAGTGTCACACTTGTTTAATCCATCTAATTATATATTAATACAATTATTAATTATAATTAATTTATACAGATAAATGTGGCAGCATTTAAATAAGAGGGAGTGTTCCTACATAACATCCATCAAATAAGTGCTCTTTTTTTCCCCTCTTAAATAGTTTTATTAGAAAATAGTCTTAAAGAGGATCTATAAGAAATTTAGAAGTCTGAATCAAGAGTGGAAGTGAAAATGGCTCGGATGGGAAGAATAAAAGCAGCTTTTCCCCAAATAAAGGGAATGTTCCTACAAAACATACATCAAATAAGTGCTCTTTTTTCCCCTCTTAAACAGATTTATAAGTCTTAAAGAGTATCTATAAGAAATCTAGAAGTCTGAATCAAGGTTGGAAGTGAAATTGCTCAGATGGGAGGAAGAAAAGCAGCATTTCTGGAGAGTTTCCTTGGAGTGCATTAATTGTGTTCTGTAATTTCAGGTTGTTCCTTGTCATAGAGTATGTCAATGGGGGGGACCTCATGTTCCACATGCAACGGCAGAGGAAACTCCCTGAGGAACATGCAAGGTATTTCTGCCCAGGGCACTGCTTGCTTCTGCTCTGCTGCTTTGTGCACTTGGATCCTTAATTTAGGGTGTCCTGCCTGGGAAAAAATGTAAATTTTATTTTTTAAAGAACATGAATGTTTTTAGAGAGCAAGCAGTTCATCAGGAGTAGCAGTTATTCCAATTTACTCCTCCTTATTGCTTCATATTTAGGCTTGCTATGTGGAATTTTCAGAAAAAAAAATCTGTGGAATAAAGAATAAATATTTCCTTAATTCCTAAAACGAAAAAAAAATCTCATTTTTATATAGGAAATGGTCTTATAAGAAGTGAGTGTCCTTATCAGTAAATGTACCTTAAGTTTTTTATGCTATTCATACATAAAAGTTGGCTGTAAAATGATGGTTTTAAGAACAGATATTTAAATTGCACCAGCTTTTCTACTATCTTAATGCTAATATGAACTTTCTCCTTTTTAATTTCAGGTTTTATGCTGCTGAAATTTGTATTGCTCTAAACTTCCTACATGAAAGAGGCATCATCTACAGAGATCTAAAACTGGACAATGTTCTCTTAGATGCAGAGGGTCATATCAAATTAACAGATTATGGCATGTGCAAGGTAGGATTTTCCTGCCCTTTCTTCTGTTACTCTTAGAGAACACTAAGAAAATTCATTTTTGTATTAACACCAGTGTTACTGAGCCCAGAATTTGGTTGTGGAATTGGAATTTTATTCTGGAAAAACTTAACTGTTGAATAGAACCACATTTGGAACTGAATTGTTATAGAAGTTTTTTCCCCCAGCAAATCTATTTGAAAAGAACTTCCAAATTGTTTAACTGATTTTTTCTTAATGTATCTGTAAGCAAAATATTATTACATACATGTTGTAACTCAGTTTTAATCAACTTTGCTGAAGAGAACCTGTGGAATCCTAGGCCATTTTGAGCATTATGAGTATTTATTTTGTGAAAGGAAGCTCTTTAAACTCCCTGACTTGGAGTTTTTAGTTTTTAGTAACTTGGGGTTTTTAGTCTGATTAAAGGAAATACCCAGAAAAGGAGGTCAGGTTTTAATTTATAAATGATTTCTGCATGTAGGAAGGTTTGGGCCCAGGTGACACTACAAGCACTTTCTGTGGGACACCAAATTACATTGCACCAGAGATCCTCAGAGGAGAAGAATATGGTAAGGCATAACTAAACAACCTGTAGTTACAATAAATATAGCTGTAACTTGGTTCAAATACATTTAATTTTTTGATGTGCACATTTCTGTGTTAATATATAATAAAACTTGAGTGCTTGTTATACAGTTTAAATTTTTTCCTGAAATAAAGGGTTTTTTTCTTTTCCTATCACTTATTTCAGCTTGTTTTAAATCATACATGGCCTGAAAAATATTTAATAAATGATACTATAGGACAGCATTTAAACTGCAGCTTTGCTGCCTGCAGAATGTTCCCCTACATTTGTCAACCCAGCTGAGAGAGCTCAGACTCCCCCAGTGATGTGTAAATCATGTCAGGGGTTTCAGGATCTCCTGGGGTGGCTTTATGATCATTTCACCATTTGTGTGTTTAGCCCAGAAATAAGTTTAATGGGCATTTGCCTGTTTAGCCCAGAAATTAATTTTCCACTTTTCTCCAAGGAAATATTTTCCTGAACTGGTTGAGGGAGGAGCCAATTAAATCTGCTTCATAGAGGAACCCGTCACAGATATATTTGATGAAAAATCCTTTTGTTAGGATTTTTTCTTCTGAGAAAACAAGATGTAAACAGTAATTATCTGCTACTGTGGAATGCAACAGGTGCATCTTTGATTGGTTTTATGTGGTTGTTTTTAATTAATGGCCAATCACAGTCTGGCTGTCTCAGACTCTCTGGTCAGTCACAAGATTGTATTATCATTCTATTTCTAGTATTTTCAAGCCTTCTGATGAAATCCTTTCTTCTATTATTTTAATATAGTTTTAATAGAATATATATATCATAAAATAATAAATCAGCTTCTGAAACATGGAGTCAGATCCTCGTCTCTCCCCTCATCCTGGGACCCCTGTGAGCACCACCACAAACCCCTTTGGAGTTCTCCCCTGAATTTGCCCTAAACCAGGACACAGTGCTAAAACCAATGTTGCTTTGTGTGAGAGAGAAGATGGAACCCCAGGGGCTGTGGCTGAGCAGTCTCTGTGCCCCTCCCTGCAGGGTTCAGCGTGGACTGGTGGGCGCTGGGGGTGCTGATGTTCGAGATGATGGCGGGGAGGTCCCCGTTCGACATCATCACTGACAATCCCGACATGAACACTGAAGATTACCTCTTCCAAGGTACAGCCTTGGTGTTTGGGGTGCCTTTGGGGTGGGTTTTGGGGGGGTACATCCCAAATGGGCAGTTGGCATGGCAGAGCTGGGCTTTCCTTTCCCACTGTTACCCCACAATGCTCCCAGCTCCATGACGGGCAAAGCTTCTCTAAAGCAGTTCCTGCACTTCTGTAACAGAATCTTCTGGAAGGGCCGATATCAAATCAATTTCTGTTTAAAATCACACTTTGCCCTGTACTGAGGAGTGAAACTTTTATTCACACAACAAATAACAGCAAAAGGTGGTGAAGGTAACATGTCCTTAGGAAATCCTGCAATGTCAATAGAACAATGGCTTTGTTTGTTCTGCTTTGAGTTTTTTGAGAGAAAGGGAAAAAGACAACTGTTGGATTTGTATTTTGTTTATTTGTAGAAAAATCTCTTCATCAAAATTGGTACTTTTTGGCCAACATTTATGCTGATTTATGCTTGAATTCCTATAGCTCCTTTTGTTTGCATGATTTTCAAAAATTGCTTTATCTTCCATTTTCTGACTGGTACCACACCAAAATAATAAATGTTTGTATTGAATTCATGGTCAGTGTCACAAACCAAAACCCAACATTGCTGTTTTTAACCCTGTCACAGTTATTCTGGAGAAGCCAATCCGGATTCCAAGGTTTCTTTCTGTCAAGGCTTCCCATGTGTTAAAAGGATTTTTAAACAAGGTAAATAACACTCTCTTATTTTTAGCATCTGAAAGCTGGAAGTCAGAGCTTCCTGTTGAAAGTGATACAGTTAAGAAGTTAATCTGCTTACTATTAAGAAAATCTATAAAACCTTGGTATCCTCTATGTTAAAAACCCCATTTAGTCTCAAAATTACTGAGGGAATTCCACAGCATAGGCTTGATGTTCAGCTAGGTGCAAATTTTAAAAAATAACTGTAGCTTTGCTTGTAAACTCTTTTCTGTGATACTTATTTAATTAAGCTGATTGAAATCTGAATGGAAAAAAGGACATGAATTATTTTAAGAAGTTGTAAAAGATCATTTAAAAATTAGGTTTCAAACAAATTTTATTTAAATCAAGATGAAGCATTCATTGCTAGCCATGGTGTGTTTATCCCAGCAGAGTTTGCACAGTCATGGGAGTGCTGGAGTCATCTCTGTGGGCTTTTGGCAAACGTGGGCTGGAAGTGGCTTGCAGTGTGTAATTCCAGTGTCTGTGTTTTCCACAGGATCCCAAAGAAAGGCTTGGCTGCCAGCCCCAGACTGGATTTGCTGATATCAAGTCTCACACGTTTTTCCGCAGCATAGACTGGGACCTGGTAAAAATCCCTGCTTGTGGTTCTGGGTGTTCCAAGGGAGCCATTCATTAATTTATTAATTGTGTGCATAGACTGGGACCTGGTAAAAATCCCTGCTTGTGGTTCTGGGTGTTCCAAAGGAGCTATTCATTAATTTATTAATTGTGTGCATAGATTGGGACCTGGTAAAAATCCCTGCTTGTATTTCTGAGTGTTCCACAAGAATCATTCATTAATTTATTAATTGTGTGCATAGATTGGGACCTGGTAAAAATCCCTGCTTGTGGTTCTGGGTGTTCCAAAGGAGCCATTCATTAATTTATTAATTGTGTGCATAGATTGGGACCTGGTAAAAATCCCTGCTTGTATTTCTGAGTGTTCCACAAGAATCATTCATTAATTTATTAATTGTGTGCATAGACTGGGACCTGGTAAAAATCCCTGCTTGTGGTTCTGGGTGTTCCAAAGGAATCATTCTTTAATTTATTTGTTGTGTGCGTATGAACAATCCTGTTGCAGACAGGCAAAATGAATTCTAGAAATCATTAGAAATCATTCTAGAAATCATCATTGTCAAAGTCGTGGTCCTAGTACATCAAAACCCAGCTGAATTTACCAATTCTGTGACTCCTAAAATAAGCAGGATTATTGAGGTGGGTGTCAGGGTTTAGTGACCTGAGGAGGGGTGAGCAGGATCAGTTCCTTTTGTTGGGGATGTGGCAGAAGGGCAGTGGGGTTGTTTATAAAGGAACTCTGATTACAGTTTGCAGATTTTCTTTGGTACTGCTGAGGTGAGGGAGGTTTTTCATTCATGGTGAAGATGACTTGCATTTCAGTGGACTTGCAAGCAAATATTGTATCAAAATTGGATTTTTAAATCTTGTGCTGCTTGGTAATTGTGTTACCTTCTGTCTCCAGTGCAGAACCATCCCAGAAATGCCATTATAACATTTATTGACACTGGTTTTTAAATATTCTGCTACTTGGTAATTGTGTTACTTTCTGTCTCCAGTGCAGAACCATCCCAGAAATGCCATTATAACATTTATTGACATTTGAGCATTAAAGCTGTAGAGTCTGGAGCACCTCCCTGCCAGCATTCCATTTTTAATAGGTAGTTAACAATTGAAAAGTGTGTCTGTAGGATTTCTAGTCTGGGAAGGCTGCAGGAAGTGTAGGAAGAGGCAGCACTAACATGAAAGAGTTCAGATGAGAGAAAGCTGCACAGTCTCATTTTCCCTTTGAAGCTGCTGCTCTGAATTTCATTGCAACATTTAACATTCTTCAGAGAGCACAGTGCAGAAGGAATTGGTGCTTTAAAACACCTGATGTTTACAAAATCATCCCAGTAATGAGAACTGTCTTTAATTTTGTCAGACATCTCTTGCTTGGAGTTCTCTCTTCAGCCTTAGTGGGGTTTCTTTTGGTTTGTTGTGGGGTTTTGGTGGGGTTTTTTTGTTTTTTAGTAGGTTTTTTTTTGCTATCTTGTGGTGCCTCAGTGCAGCTCACCTGGGGGTGTGGAGCTGTATTTTGTTTATTTGTAAAAAAAACTCTTCATCAAAATTGGTACTTCTTATGCTGATTGAATTTTTACATTTTCTAACGTATTTTATGGCTGAAATCTTTAATATTAAATCCTTATTTTTTTTTTAAAATGGAAGATTTAGGTGATCTGTTTTGTGGTATGATCAGGACAGTACTGCTCAGGAGGATCAACGTCAGAGAAATTTGAAGTTAAATATCTAATAAGTTTTGGCAAATGTACTCAGGAAAAAATGAGAAAATACTTGGAAAGCTTTTTTAGTTATTAGAATCTCCTACTCACCACCTGCATTTCAAAGAAAACATTTGGACTTAAAAGCTTTTCCAAATCTTTTCAAGTTGTACCAGAAGGAAAGGAGTGTAACACCGACTTTAAAACTTGTTCTGTGTGGAGCTTGAGCTAAATGGAAAAATAAATACAGGGAAAGAGAGCACAGAGCCCAGAACATTTTCCTGGTGTTAGTCATCCCAAGTGTGGCACAGCTCACTGTGCTGTGGGATGGCTCAGCAGCACCCAGGGCAGTTCTGTCTGTTCTGGGATATTCAGTCCATCCTTATCTCAGTGCCTGTTCCATGCTGTTTAACCATTAAATGCTGGAGGAAGAACTGCAAAGCCACAGCTCCTGTTTGCAGTCAGGGATTTTCTAGAGCTGTTTTTTCATTCATTTTCTCAAGTTTAGGGCTGCAGGTTCTCTATGGCTGATTTAGGAGGGCTTTTATGCTGTACTGAGTATAACAAAGGAGGAAGTTTTGATGTTTAACCCCTTGTGGAATGTGAATGTGTGGTGACAGCTCACAGGGACAGTCCTGCCACCCTGCTTGAGTTTTTAAATATTCATTTTGCTGATTCCTTCACGTTGCCATTCTTGTTTGGGAGGAGTTGATTGTTCCTTCCTCACAAGTTTGATTTCATGGTGCTTTCCCAGCCCTGATCATTGATGGGATGTTGATGTATTAATGCACCACCCTGTGACAGTTACACAATATCCTCCTATCTCCATCTGTACTTCCTGTGCTCTTGTCTGAAACCTGAAATCCAGGATTTTTCTGGGATTTATTCCCTGTTTTGTTTGCCCTGTACCAAGCATCATGAGAGATCCTGGCCTTAAAATCAGGTTTTTATCTGATGTTGGTAATACAAGTGATCATTTTGGTCACTGCTACTCTCTCACCAGTTACCTGTCCTGAGTTACATTATGGAGATCTGTAGCCCTGACAGCTTTTACCTGAATATAAATGTCAGAATTAGAATGTTGGTGTCTCTGCTACCATGAATTGGACTGTGTGACAGATTGCACACAAATAAGAAGAAAAGTAGGTCAATTTGTCAGGAACAAAAGTAAATATATTGTGCTAACTGCTGTATTGCAGCACTGTGGGAATTGATCAATCCTGAATCTAATCTACCAATTTAGAGAAAACCTAGAAGGCTGAATTATCTGTGGCTTTTTATTTTAAAATGCAGAGCAGTAACTGCGTTGCTTTCAGGGCATACTACTTGGTATTTTGATGTTCCTTTCCAATGGCATTTACAGCAGCTGGATTTGAGTTTCCTGAGGGATGCTGTAACTCTTGCAGACATTAATTTTGTCCTTTTCCCCACGTTTTGGTAGCTGGAGAAGAAGCAGACGACGCCCCCATTCCAGCCGCAGATCACGGACGATTATGGCTTGGACAACTTCGACACGCAGTTCACCAGCGAGCCCGTGCAGCTCACCCCAGATGATGAGTATGTGAGGCAGCTGCACAGCTGCAATCAGTCACAGATCAGCTGGAGATCACTCAGAGGCTGTGTGTGTTGGTGGGGTTGGGTTTTTCTTTTCACAAAGGGGATGGGACTGCTGAGGTGCCTTCCTTGAGCTCTTATTGCAGCATCGGCCTCATTGTGTGGTAGATGGCAAAAGCTCAGGTACGGCCAGCAGCAGCCAAAGGTTTCTTTCACAGAATTCACTGGTTGTTAGAGACCTTAAAGATCATCAAATTTACCTGAGCCCCAACCCCTCAGCTCAACCCTGGCACCCAGTGCCACACCCAGGCTTTGTTAAACACACCCAGGGATGGTGACTCCAGCACCTCCCCGGTTCCTGGAATTCCCAAAATTCCCCAAAATTCACAGAATTCCCCCAAAATCACCAGGTTGAAAGAGACCTTAAAGATCGTTGACCCAACCCCTCAACTCAACCCTGGCACCCAGTGCCACATCCAGGCTTTGTTAAACACACCCAGGGATGGGGACTCCAGCACCTCCCTGGGCAGCCATTCCAGAACTTTATCACCTTTCTGGAAAAAACTTCTTCCCAATATCCAACTATTTCCTTTGGTGCAGCTTGAGACTGTTACAGAGCATCTTAAAACCTTTTTAGCCAGTAGCATATTGCTAAAGCTTACAGACAGTTGTTTTAGCCAATTACATGTACACCTGCTCCACACAATGTTTGTCTTTTTTCTATTAACAATACATAATACACCATTATTAAACTTAAAACCTTTTACTATCTTCCTTCTAAAAATCTTCCCTTTACTATTTCCCATACTTGCCATTAGAACTTAGTCATGTTACAGTAAATTTGAAATTCTTTGTATCTTGCATTATATGATGGAAGACTGCCCAGTTCTGATGAATTAACCACTGCTCTCATTTGTTTTTCAGAGATATAATAAAGCGAATAGATCAGTCCGAATTTGAAGGATTTGAATATATTAATCCATTGTTGCTGTCAACAGAAGAAACAGTATGAAGGAATGACCTCGTTGGGGACAGTGGGAATGACATTAATTTATCCTTAACTACAGTATATGCATGCGAGGCTGGGACTGGTCACTTTGGATGGAGACCAATGATCTAAAAACAAATTTGCTGCTGAAAATCAAAGAAGAGAATTATGATTTTGGTGGGTGTCCTCTGCCACTTAGTGATTCTTAAGTTCTGGGCACTGACACAACTGGCTTCATTAATGAAGGAATTTGCATTTTGTGCCTGTTTCATGAAGGATTGAAACGTTCGTTGCATCCCTGCAAAAGGAGATCATGAGAAACTCTGAGATCCACACACTTTCTACAAACATTTGATGCAATGAGCTCCCAGTTGAAGAGTATTACAGTGTAACATCCTGAAGAATAAAATATATTACAGTGGTGTTGAAGCTTATTTTTGATGCCTTTTTTCACAAGTGGTACCTGTCTAAACATCTCAGATATATTTAAAAGGAGTTGTGTTTTATTAGCAATCAAAACAAATTTGGGTACAAGATTTAAGTGCCTAAATGGATAAACTGCATTGAAGGATTATTGCATATTTGGGACGTTCTTACACCTGGTAAGTTCTGCTTGTTAATATTAAGTAAAGTTCCATCTGAAACATACAGTTCACAGCTGCAGCCTGATGTTTAGTTGCATTTTTACAGAATTTGGAATGCAGAGTGACTCAGTGAGATTAATTCCAAATTAGAATTTACGGTATCAATTACAGAATCTGTTGTCTTAAACTCCAAATTTACCAAAACGTAGAGATTGAGGAAAACTAAATTTGCACACAAAGGATTTCTAAACATACTTAAGCAGTGCCTACACCTACAATGATATTGTGTTGTATATTAGATTTTTGAAAAGTATTTTTATCAACAATACAAATATTCAGATGTAGAGCAAAAGCATAGTAAAGCATAGCCTTAAAGTAGTAAATCTAGAATAACCATAAGATAAAATCCACTTTCCTGATAAAGCACACCTCCTGCTTATGATAAACTGTCTGCTTACAGTTGCTCAGTGTGCATTAATAACTAATTAATCATTCTGCAGCAGAGAATGGGATCTTTCAGCGAAATGATTTGCATCAAAGCAGTACAATTCTTTTCATGGCAGAAAAACAAATACCTAAGAAATTGGAAGAAGCAAAAGACAACTGTGGAATCCCTTCTGGTGGGAGCTGGGGGTGCCAGGGGAGGGCTCAGCTCTGCTGGGGAGGGAAAACAAAAACCCTGTGCTGGCCTCTCACCTGACTGGGTGTAAAACACAGGAGAAATTGTGACACTTTCACTTTCTTTACATTAACCTATGGTTTTCTCAGGGTACAGCATTGCATTAGGTGCTGAACATGACATCTTTGGGATTCACATCCAAGTCATGAGGTGCTAGGACCAGACTGCCAAAACATTGTTTGAAATAGTCAATTAATCATTGATTAACAATCTAGGTTTTGTATCCCCTCCTTAGCCACACTTATGCAGACCTGTGGTTGTTTAGTTCTATGAATCCCATTCAGGTTTCAGTTGTGGGTTTCTCTGTTGGACTGTAGCTTTTCATATTCAGCAAAATGTGTTTTAATCAACACTAAATAATTTAACTAGTAAAAAGTACTTGCCTCAAATGCCTGGACTTTAGATACTTTATTATCTACTAAAGGCAACATTACCTTTTAAATGTGATCTGACATTTTTTAATTGCTCCTTTTCCCTCTTATTTTATTTCCCCTGAATAATTTCCTGTTCAGTGTTTTGAACTCCCCTGGTACTAAAGCTAATCAGGAGTGATCAGAGTGACTGCAGGCAGCTCATGAAAGGAACTGTGACAGGTCAAGCTGTCCTTTGACATGCCAGGGCATGGAACTTGAAACTGGAAATATTAGAAATGTGGGTTGGGATTTTTTTTAACCTTTTTTTCCAGGTTTCAGAACATTTTGGGAGGGAGGGAAGGAAGAATAGAAAGACACATTTTGCTAATCAAACATTGTAAAGACTATTTGATTTTTATTTAAGAATTTACAGGCATTTACAATGTTGCTGTGTTGCCAAATAGTTTGCTGGGTACAAGTTTGGTTGCTCATGTGCAAGTGTTTGAATAATGTTCTGTTCATGATGAAGGGGAAATTTTTTATATAAAGTACTTGTTTTATAAATAAAAGAAAATGAAGGATGTAATTAAATGTGTGGTTTGGAAAAAAAATCCTAATATATTACAAATGGATCTGGTAATGATATATAGTTGTCTTATTTGAAATAGTAAATGAAAATTCTAGCTAATTTAATGATTGTAAAACAGTAAATATGTTCTTGTAGTTTTGTATAATTAATTAGTTGGGATCTTTGCTGACCAGTTTTAATTGTGCAGAAGATGGTATACTAATCCATAACAGCTGAGATCATTTATATTCTTGCACATCTATTAAAGACTTTAATGAAAAAGTTCACAGACTGTTATTATTTATCAGTGCAATGGGCTGTGTCCAACCTCTGAAACAGATAAATAAAATAAAACCAAACCAAAACCAAATGGGCAGGTGGCACTTATCCTGTTGAGTTACTGGTTTGTCAGAGACAAGGATGTGCTTCCTGACACATTTTCCTGTTCCTCTGAGAGAGCTTCATCCTTGCCTGGTTGCTGTGCTCCCCACTCTGGAGTCACCACAGGACATCATCTGCACTCTCAGCCAAGCACCTGGCAAGGTGCCCATCCATGTCCAGCTGGGAGAGTCTGCAAACACAAACAGTCACATCCCTCTGCTGCCTGTGCTCCACTGCCTCCCACAAGGGTTTGGTGCCTTAGTGGGGCACTCAGTCCTGTGCCCAAATCCTCTCCCAGAACCCCCACCCTTGCTGTTACTGCTGCTCAAACTGGAGCTGAGTAACACAGACCTGGTGCATTTTAAGCTTTTCTAAGTCTCTTGACAAAAGGACCAAAACTGTCTAAATATTAATGCAGCCACTCCTTGTCTCCCTGTTCAGCCTCCCAACAACAGCGAAAGTGGCTCCCAACAGAGCTTGCAGGGTCAGAGGACAGGCAGGGTACTATGAAATTGTGTTACCATTTCTTACTGTAGAGCAGATACTCAACTTGTAAATGGGATTAAAGTGTGTGATTCTGACAGCTACAAAGGACCTCACAGTAGAGGTTTTGTCTGCTTTTGTTATTGTGTATATAGAGGATGCATCCAGAACCTGCTGTGGTTCATTTATGGGCAAGTGATGAAAAAAAACCAAACCACAAACTTACCTTCCACTGAACTGCATCAGACACATGGGACAACTGTCAAGAGCTGAAGATGCTTCACTCTGGTTTTCCATTTTCTCCTCATGGCTCTCAGGAGCACTCCCAGGCTGAGGCTTCTCCACAGGCACCCCCATGGGCTCCCCTGCTGGAAGCTCCCCCTGGTGTGTTTGGATTTGAGGCTTTTCCTCACCCTGTTCTCTCCTGCCTGCCCTGCTGCTCTGTGCAGTCCCTGTGTGCTGCTGCTGAGGGCCCAGAGCTGCTGCAGGGCTTTGTGCCAATGCTGAGGGCTGTGCTGAGCTGCTGTGCCCAGGGACTTCACACGGCTTGGGACTCACATCCAGCTCTGGAACACCTTCTGTGTCTGCTCCAGGTGCAGGTCTGGCTCCATCTGTACTGGTTCCCCTGCAGGTTTTCTCAACTGTGGATGATAAACTCTTCAGTTTATCTGCTTGGCCCTGTCCTTTATGTAATTCATTGCTGTGGCTCTGTGCTGGCTGCTGGGAGCTCAGATCCGTAGGGTTCAGACATTTTTCTTGGTGAAAAGGTGGGAATGACACCCACTGAAAGTCCTTAGTTCCAACTGTAAAGACTTCCTGGTGTTCTGGACTCTTTTCCTGTTGTTTCTACAACACACACACACACAGAGAATGTCTTAAGCACATGGAGCTCAATCAATACCTAAAACCAGGCTTTGGGAACACATTGCAAATACTGAGAGAGCTGAACTACAGGAAAGAAAAGAACATTTTATTTATGTCCCTCCTCCAGGAGCTGATGGGATATGGGTCTTACCTCAGCATTTCTAAATGGATACAATGGGTACTCATGTTCCAGAGAGACTAAGGATGAAAACAACAACCTGCTGCTGTTCAGGGGGGAAAAAGTATTTTATAAAGACTGATTTTAATGCTGGGATCTTACCTAATGCCACAGGGTGGGTTCTGTGTAAATAACTCCTCCATTACAGCTTGCCTTTTCCAGTTTCATTCCTTAGGGAGATGCTGGTGTTTATGGCAATCAGAATCCTTACACAGGCTCCCTCTTCCCAGCAAAACGTTGGAAAGAATTTGCTGTACTGCAAAAAAAGCCTCTTGTGGCTGTCCTTACATTCCCTGCCACACCAAGCCCAGCCACAGCACTGCACACAGAGATTAAAGAGCTGAAACCCCACATCTCTAAAAGCTATTTCATGTTGTTTCCCATTAAGCAGGCTGTCGCTATTGAAAGCAGGAACAAAGTACAAAAACAAGGATACAGCACGCTACCTTTTCCAGGAACTCTGGAAAGCTGGGCACTGTGTCCCAGTTTGTGCACTCTGAATCTTGATTGATGTCTTTCAGTAGCAGAAACCAGGTTTTTTCACACTCATTTAATTCTTCCTTTTCAAACCAGGAACATCTGTCAGTCGATGCCCTGTAAAGACACAGTCCAATAGTTTGAAGGTGGGAGAGAACAAAGAAAGTACTCTTAACACTGATACCAGTTTGCCTCTTTTCTCTGGAACACAAAGACATTATTGAGCCTGCAAACTATTTTTTGCAGCTTTATATGACTTATGTAATTTGGGCAGCTAGCAAAAAATTAATGTCTAAATGCTTTCCTTTCTGCTTGTAACAAATGAGCAGTAGGCATCTATCACTATCCTCACTTCCAAGTGAAGCAGTTAAGTGCAGCCACTGTTTTATCTTCTCAAATACCAAACTTAACACCTGCTGAGCACAGAAATCATGGAAGTGTTTGCACTGAGGGTGGAAATTGCATCAGTTCCCATGGATGTCTGGACATTCCCACACTGCCATTTGAAATTATTATCTTCCCAAATAACTTGATTTAATTGATCCTAGGAACTAGAACCACTAAAAGGTAATGTTGTACAAAGACAATTCCAAGGGAAGGATGGATTGTTTATGTCACAATGGTATTTCCAGCATTCTTCCTGATGTGTTTTCTTGGGTCGCTGGCCAAGAATGAAGCTGTACAGGGAAGAAATTGGAAACAACACAAGGAGCAAAGTGATCAACCTCTCCCAGCCCATGGTGGAAGGGACACGGCTGAGCCCCGGGCTGGAATACAAACCGAGCCAGTCACTGCCTTCCGTCCACCCGAACCCCGGGGCTGGGAAAAACAGAAAATATTTCTGCGCTCCTGTGAG